TAGAGAGAGGACATTCTCAGACACTCCTGTCTACAGACCTACCATATTTGAGCGAGGATATTCTGAGGCACTCCAGTCTACAGACCTACCAAATTAGAGCGAGCACATTCTGAGGCGCTCCTGTCTACAGACCTACCATATTTGAGCGAGGATATTCTGTGGTAGTCCTGACTGAAGCAGCAGTGGTCTGACCTCTTCTCCTCCAACCAGTCCATCTTTATCACCATCAATCTGGCTAAACATCTGATCTGATTTGGCCTTCTCTTCTGAAGTCACCACCCACGTACTTTGCTCCTAGAGGAAGCACAACACTGCAATGTATGAATCTTTAAAGAACATAAGCTGAAATAAACTGGTATTCACATTTGAAATCCAAAAGTACAAAAAAAAATCTACAGATATTCAGTCCAGTGTTGGGAGTATTCATCTTGAGTGACAACTCAAATGCATGCAAGTACTCGGCCCATACCCAGCAATCAGGTACTCAAAAAAGTATTTACATCTGGCCCATATTTGATTCTTTGCACTTGGTGTTTGCATGGACTGGGGCATATGGTACTCCGTAATTAACTCCTGGAATCCAAATCAATACACCTTTTTTTCTATACTGGCCTCGAATGTATGTCCCCTCCCGTGCATTCAGATTTTAGGACTTTGTTGCCAGTTGCCTGAAATTGACGACAATTACAATACTGTTTTTTTTTTCAGAAACTGACCTGTTTTGTTGATAGTACTGGAGATCCCTTGGGAGAGCCGTCGGAAGGAATGGGCGGAGTCGCCCTCTTGGTCGACACTGGGCTGGGTAGAACCGCGATGGCCCCCGCCATGGGGGGCTTCTTGCGCTTGGGTGGGGGGAGGAGCTGTGGTGGGAGGGTCATGGGGGTAGGCTCCTTCTCTAAGGCTCGGTAAACCAAGTGCATCGCCTGCCACGAGAAAAGAAAATGAAAATTCTATTAACAGGGTTGCAGTGCGAGGCAAGAGAGCTGTAATAGAGTACCGAAGTGTGACGTCACTGTGAACCAGAAAGTGCAGTGCAAACGATGGAGTACGCTCGCGTGTTGGTTCACGCGCTGCTTCTTGTGCTTATGCCTTTTTACAGACTAATTGTGCACGTGACGTATTCACTTCGGTACTCTATACTCGGAAACAGTTACAATCCTCAAAAACAAGGTTAGAGTACTTGGAGATAGGGTTACAGTACTCAGAATCTTTGTTATAAGAAATAATTTAAAACTGGGTTCTCAGAACAGGGTTACAGTTTTCAGAAATGGGGTAATAGTACTTGGAAACAGAGGTACAGTACTCAGAAGCAGTGTTGTGGTACTTGGAAAAAGGGTCAACTGCATTGTATAAACAGTACTCAGACAAAGGGTTTTAAGTCCTTGGAAACGGAAACAGGACAATGGTCCTCAGAATGCGATACAGCACTTGGAAAGAGGACCGCAGTGCTCTAAGTAGGGAAACAGTATTGCACAACAGGGTTGTAGTGCCCATGCTTGTCTATGAATATCATTTTTTTTTCTACACTTGTCACCTGAACCCTAAGGTGCTGTAACAGCACAAACCTCAGAGCATGCCAGCACGGGCATCATGCCTGACCTACCACAGCAAATTCATCCTTGTCTAGTAAACCGTCTTTGTCAATGTCACTGAGGTCCCATATCTACAGAGGAACAAAATTCACACAGAGAAAACCTTTCAGAAATTCATGGAAATCAAAGATGAGGAACATATTAAAGGCCACGGAGGTCACAACAAACCTGATCTCTATCAGCCCACTGGGGCGCCTTTACTACCAAAACAGGACTCTGGAGAATCCAGTGACGTAAAATCGTCAAAATATGCCACGCAACGACACAACCTGGCACTTGAACGCATATGCAGAGGATTGTCAACAGCAATATCAATGTCTATTTCAGTGCATTCCATCCAAAGGTTACACAAGATTATTTAATCATCCTACTACATCCTTGTGCATGTTGATTGATAATACTTTTATCCCCAATGTGTCGCTTTGCAGTTGTGACTTATTGTGGTCCATTATTCACTGTGTATTGGTAACTACAATGAAGTTTAAGACGGCCTTGAAGGCCACGAGCACAAGATGACACCAGACATAGCCGTGGCCGTAGCTCTGAAAGCTAATTGGAGACTGTGCTCCTCTGCCCCATTTTCCCTTGACCTCTCCAAATACACGGATGGGATTTTAGCCTCTTCCCTCGCGCCAAACACACCAGGGTGTTTACCCTGAGCCTACTAGATCCTCCGGGAAGTTTTGGAAGGAATCTGCTTGGCGTAGTAAGCCGAGTCCCAGTCGTTCACTTCGTTATGTGTTGGGCTTGACGGTCAGAATGTGCCTCCGGATTACTGGATGGTGGAGGATTTAGAAAGGTTCTGGTGGAAATGCCCTAGAGGATTCTAGAATTGAGACAATCCATCCTCATCGCCAAACAGGAAGCGAATGCCAAAAATATGGCTACTGCCGGTCTCGTATTAAAAATATGCCAAGTAATTTCATCCTGTGATCTTGGCTAATTTAACCGTACGGAAAAAAGCGACCATAACTTTTTTTTTCCCCTCCAACCTGCCAAACGTTATGGTATGTTCGTAATTCAATAGAGACAGACATGCTGGCCTGACCAATGCTATTCTTTTTTCTGCATCTTGTTTCCTTACTCACCCTACTGAGGATATCAACGGGCAAGTTGGAGTTCATGAAAACAGTCTTAACCTTGTCACCTGACAGCTTTTGATCAATGGGGTTCAGTCCCTCAAAGATGGCGTCGTATTTTAATTTCTCCTCTGGCTACAAATATTCAAACAAGAGAGTAGAGACGATTTATACAATGAAAGCATCGTTTTAATGTCCCCCCCTAAATTATTTAACTGAAGTGCAGTTTGTGGGCATTAGAAACACCCTCAATTACGATTCAAAACAAGTCAAATTGTTTCTTACAGTTTCGAGTCATACAGCGCAAAGAACATGCTGTAACTCAAACAAAATACTTACCGTGACAGACCATGAATGGTCTGGTGACCCTCCGGGAAGGGGTGGAGTTGTGGAATGAGGAGTCTGAGTAGCAGACCCTTGCTGTTTAGAGGACAGAAAAAAGAAACTCTTTCAACAAGAATTTGTTTTATTTTCAAACAATGCCAATTATAAAGGTTTGAGGATTAACGCTACCACCGGATCAACATGAAGCCCTGATGTTACTCCCTAAATAAAAAAAATAAATAAATAATACAAATTTAGCTTTTTTTTTCCAAAAATGTTAAACTCTGTGTTGATGCTTCGGGAAATATCAATCTTCATTTCCTTCTGAACCCATTCACCCACATTCTGCCCAAATTAAATACCGTCAAAAGTCAAATTTAGTGAAATTCTTCTTGCTACGTCTCCGGTTTGCAGCTTACAACCATCTGTGGGGAAGCCGTACCATGTTTGGGATAGGAGCTGGCAAAGTCAGGTTAGATACAGCAATCTCTCGGCCGCTCTGTGCCAAAGCGATCAACTTCAGTGCCACAAAGAAACCCTGATAATCAAAAAAGGGGAAAATAAATCCACATCAATGCTAAGAACTAATTTCGACAGTGCTCTGTATAGATCTGCCTTGAACAGAAGCACCAGCTCGTCGACTGAACGGAGCCATTCTTCACCTGTTTGTCTAAGTGTCCTTTGCCTTGTGGGTCAGACAGCTCCCATATTTTATGCAGTATCGTCTCCCGCAGGCCAGACTTCTTCAGGAAAGATGCAGCATCCACAGCGCCGATCTTACCGACACCCGTCTTATCGACCTGAAATGGAAGGGGGGAGAGGATGAAGTTAGATGGTGTGATAAACCACAGGGCAAACAAGGTAACGGATGTACAGATAGAGGGACGGGTCATGTCAGGCACAGACCTGACCTCTGCTATCAGTGACACTGATTTCACCTGTCTGATCACCCTCAGGGAGAAAAAACCACGGCGACACAAAACAGTAACACACAAGCAGCGATTTCCTCTTATACATCAATGCGAGAGATTGGAAATTCAGGATGTGTTCTGACCAAAGTGGACCACAGGATATGTACATGTACACTAATTTAACTTCAAGATCTGTCCTTCTAAGTAAGTTGGTCGTTCTGTGCTTTCAAACAACTTATGAGCAAACTGTGAAAAGCTTACTTACAGTAGGTCTACCATAAACCTTGAACTCCTGCTTTCTGATATTTTACTACGGGGTCTGCTGGTCTATTTGAATCCGATATGCCAATAATCCAATATTACTGTAGTGATCAATGACTTATGTTTTTTTTTCCTGAAAATGCACAGTAACGGACCACTTGATGGTCAAAGATGAATCATCTCTCATCATCTCGGCCATCTTGACCGGCTGTCAGCAAAGCAAGAGGGACTTGACATAGAGTCTATACCTCCTCACAGTAAACCTACCCCATGGGGTCAGACACTACGTTTTACATATACGGAGACACAACCATACAGACAGGCACGCAGCATTTCTCATCATTTTGAACAATCTTGATCAACTCAACAATCCCTCCTCAGCAAAGAAGAAAAGAGAGTCCAGACGTAGTCTCCGATGAACTAATCTCAATCTAATCTGAAATACCCATCTGCCTCATAAGACTTCTGGCTTTTGCCAAGGCAACTGCTGTACTGATACATGTACATGTATAATAAATTTGAAGTCATACATGTTAAAAGGCAGCAGGACTTACTCATAGGAATAACAGTGTCTCAAGTTGGCAAATTTATACACGTATGCACATCTGTGTAAATACATCGGGCGACCTACTAACATACTAAAAACCTCATTAGTTAAAAACAAACAGAGAAATGTTGGAGGCAATCGGTCAATCTGTAAGACTGGTGGAATGCGCCGCGCTATCAGTTGATCCTGAGGGAAATCGCAGACTTTCCCCCTCCCCATTTTCCAAATATCCTCTCAAACTGTGAGCTGGAAAGAAAAAGGCGATCGTGGGACGGCGGAAATATCGACAGATTGTGCAAGAGACCGTGCGATCGACCGATCACGACCCAACGGAAATAATGTACAGTATACGCGTACAGTACAACATTCAAGAACGATGAGGAGCTACATGTATGTTTGTTTAACGAATTGTTGCACTTAGAGACTGGCGCTGACATTCTCCATTGACAGTATAAGGAAACACATGCCAGCTTCAAGAGTTTGAAAGCACACACTACAGTAAGTTTCACAGAGGCAGCCTACAACGTCTCCTCTGCAATGTACATGGAACAGAAAGTAAAATTTATCAACTCTCAAAATGCACAAGTGTAGAATTTGGACTCAAACAAAAGTGTAACCTAACAATTTGAAACCAAGCAAACTGAATACTAGTCGGCACATTCCAGTACTACATGCACTCTACGTGTCCGTAGCCATGTAGTTCAGCAGGTGTTACGGGGAAGTGAATATTCATGAGGGAGAAAACCTGACCACCCTATCATAAACAGACAGCAATTAATGCAAATGAATTGTCCATATGCTGCAACAGCTACATGCATGCAGGTGGGGTTTAAGAGTTTTTAATCATTATACTTTCCAAGAACGCGGGTTTCAAGTGGACAGAGCATCCCCCACCAACCCGGATACAATCTTCATCTACTTTAAAACTACAGGAATCTTTAATTTCTTATTTTCTCTTCAGGTCAATTTCCATTATCCTTGTCGGCTGGAATCCTACATGGAAACATGACTCATTCCATCATATCAAAGGGGTAATTACACTGTGCAATGTGGAACAACATTTTTTTTCTCAAGCTGGCAAAGTAAGGACTAAGGAAGGGTTGACACTGACCACACCAACATATGTTAGAGAGTAATTTAAGAAACTTAAGGGAAACAAGCCATCTTCAGACGGAAGCAAATAATGAAACATGTAAGCTGTTTATGCATCAAAGATTTTTTTCTTTTTGATGGATTTGTTGGCCCGATTTCTCTGTTGTCTAATTGTTAATAAGGACTAAAACAACAATTGCACAGATCCGCAGTTTTTGTGGAGTTACTGTACAATCTCTGCCCATCTTTGATTTGTTTTTATGAGTGGTTTGATTTCACTGTAAACTGAGAACCTTTTTAAACAAACAGAAACAGAAGCCGGATAAAGAGTGAATTAACAAGATTTGCCCTTTTAGTAGACCAGGAAAATCTCAATCCAAATGGACTTTCCTTCCTTCCATCTCCGGGGTTGGGGCAGATTTGAGCGCATCATCTCCAGGTTGCTAGGCAACTGTCTCCCTGTCAGATGCTTAATGGGATGTGTTTCCTGTGTCTGGCTTTTGTACAATTCTTACCTGGTGTGGTAAGCTACATGTAACCAAGCCCGGTCTTGATATATTCGTGGCCAAACCAGACAAAATCAGTTGCAAGTCACCAGAGCCTTTTTTTTTTAAAGTCCAAAGCCTTTAAATCATTCTTAGCACAATGTGGACCAAAAGAAACTGCAACTTTGTTGCTTTCTTAATCTACATCACGTTCATTTTCACCAACTCAGCTTTCCTATTTGAGTGATACATCAAAATAAAGACCTCAATCTTCTTTTTCTGATGCAAACTGAAACAAAAAGTATCGAAGAAAGTCAACAGCGTTAAGGAGATCCAGTTACTTGTTCACAGGGACTGATACACTGTACATGTACACCCAAAGACTTTCTGCTGCATTCGTGATTGACAGTTCCTACCCATCTGTTATGCTGTACAGTTTTTCTTTCAATTCCCTCTCTAAACATTCTGATGTTTTTATGGCCCTTCTGCCAATGCATTCACCACATAATTTTGAAGGCAGTGAGCTTAATTTTCTGCAATAAACACTTTAACTTGATCACCTGCTTCTTCACCTTTAAACACATCAGCAAATAGCGTCACCTATTTCACCAGCTGAGATCTTAATCACTCAAAACAGTAGATAGCAGAGCAGGGCCATACAATGTACATGCACAATGTACGTCCACCGGTACAATTGCTTGTGCATGTATGGTCACGCACACTCTATGTCACGTATGTGTACAATCCCACATACATAAATAAAAACAAGGCTGCACAATTATGCCGGTCGTTAACCTCAAATAAACACAAATAATCCAGTGAACTTTTTCCACTTGATCCGCAAAGTCTCCGCACAGAGACTCTGTGCAGATCAAGAGTATAATTTTCATGTAAAAGATGTGTTCTCCGCATTGAAATCTGCAGTGCACATGACAGATAAAACCGTATACCCCATATTAAATTGCGTACAGGTCCAACTGACGAGGAGCCCTTTTACAGGCTTGAGCTTTTACAGGTGTGCCTCATCATTGTTTTTCTCATTACGACTCTGTCATCAGGCACAACTGATGATGCTCCTGGTAATCTGACCCTGTCTCCCTCCAATGACATCCAATCGCTGGCCCAACCTTCGTGCTCTATCATATAAGGTTATCCCCAATCAAACCGGTCTGCTGACAAGAGTCTTCTTTTCTCACTTCAGACAAAGAGCTCTGCGGATATCATGTGTACAGTACCTAAGGACCTGCGCGCTGCATGCACCGTGGTCTCTCCACATGCTCTGTTACACTTCCCAATTTAGGAGAAGGTCATGTGCAAATCTCATCAACATATTAAAAGGTAACACTGGACGAAGAAAGGGATAGGGAAGTGCTTATCCAAACTCAATTATACTCTTCTACCTAGGAATCTGCAAAGCCAAATGACAACTCTCTCTGCTTTTAAACATTTTAATTTCTCCCTTTTCTTCACCATTTCAAACTTCATTTCATGTGCGGGCTCCATTCAAAAAAATTTTTTGAACATCTCAGCCAGATGTAAGACCTATAATTTTGACCACGACCTTAGTTCATCCGTACACTGGACGACAAACAAGCACACCAAATGCTGTTGACTGAGCCAGGCAATGCTTGCACGGAAGTCCATCTGACCTTTGACCTTTTCCAATGCATAGTCTAGGGATACATTCCAGCCAAGCAGACTATTTGTTTGGGTAAGACAGACCAAGAACATGTTCTGGAATGACAGCATTTGTCAAGTTGACAAACTGAATCTACTTGTTTTTAAAGATACGAGTACATACACTGTACCTGTCGAAATATATAAAAAAAATCAAACCACACAGAAAAAACTTCTGGCTGGCATTAAATGTTACAGTGAGAGGAGAGAGTGTTAACAAAATAAACAACAGATCAGAACTGACAAACAAAAAAATTTCAAAAATTCCACAACTTTTTTCGCTTACCTGTCTGAAGAGTGATTCATAAGTCGCCTGGTTGCTGCCGGCAACCTGCCGGGAAAAAACATTGAAACAAAAGTATTTCAATTAATCACAGGCGCACAGAGACCCAGGGAAATTACTGGGACAGAAATGAAACAAAGAACTTAATGGAACACGAGAATGCTACTCCATTCTCAAATGTCCGATACTGGGAATCATAAGTGGGAACCATCAAGCTTCGTGGAATGCTCGTACTATTTGTCCCTTCTGAGGCAGGTTATTCCATGTTCGTACATGAACGTGTATGTGGGTACCAGCGCCTGTATAAATGGTTTTCAATAGGAACGACAAATGTCAAGTGAGTTGCTTCGCAAAAAGAAAATAAAAAGTGAATTTCTGTTATCAACTGGTATTTGCATCCCCGAGGCGTGCGTGTGGATTCAAAGGGACGAAAGGTTTGCAAGGGGCACCACATGGGGGGGGAAGAAATAAACGTACATACATGTACGCAGGAAATAAAAGTAAATTCATCAGCTAAGCAAAGATCAGTCGGTATCTTAATCAGCTTCCAGGCAATGTACTCTACGTGTACATCACATGACATTTTAGCTAGTGGCCCATTTTTGGCAAAGCAAGATTCACGGATGCTTTGCAAAGCTGGGTGCTTACCACATTTGTGACTCCACTGACTGGAATTGATTTACATATCACCGGAACTACGTTTTCAGTACATGTGGCTGGCATTGTAACAAATGTGTGACACGGAAATCAACAAGACCTGTTACTGTCGTTAAGAACACTCATGCACACTGCAATATACCTATAGTAAATGTGATATCTGCACACCAGGAAGTCAAACTGAGTAATTTATCCAAATGAACTTAAAAAGCCTTTTCTAATGCATGACAAACAAACGAGTGAAATAAGTACTCCAGTCTAATTTTGTCAGATTTAGTCGCATTAGGGGGCACGGATTTGCAAACGTCCTTATATGCACGAACAGACCAACAGTATTGCATATAATTCACAGCCTCGGCACGTTTCCATGATGATGACCTCTTTCATGATCATGAAACTATTACATGAAGGAATAAAAACTTGTTGTTTCCTGGAGATCAATTTCAAAAACTTGAATGTAACAACTGCCACGCTACATTACAATAAATGTATAAACCAGGAATCTGTTGAGAGTAGACATGGTAGACAATGATACAATGTTGGACTTTCCTTATAAGGCTTTCCTTGTAGGGCCTGGTGAACCAGGTGGAGTCTGAACCCGAGTCATCCAAGCAGGAAGGTGAACATGTACATGATTTAAAGGGTCAGTGTGGTGAAGTTTTCTTCGACAACTATTTGTGGAACTAGCAACCCCATATTTTTCCACAATGTATGAAAACTGTTTGACATCCTCTGGGGGTGAAGTGCACAGAAAAGAGCAATTTTTAAGACATTTAAATTAAGGGCGCAGTTGCCGTGATGTCATTGAGGGAAGACATTATTATATGTTTTTCTGTTCATATTTTGAACACAACCCTGCAAAGTGAAGATATTTCTGAGAACTGGTTACTTGTTGGCTTATTGCCATAACTTGTTGATTACCAAAGAATAGGAAGTTTAGGATGGCAAAATATCAGATATTCCAGTAGTTTTGTGCACAAATCAATGCAATACAAAGGTTTTCTCCCTGGGATGACATCACAGCTTTATTCATGAATATGTAAATTTTCAATAGTACAAGAACAAACAGGCACTAAAATACCTTTAAAACAGCGTTAAACATTGAAAGCAAGGTTAACTGAAAACACAACGGTGAATTTTCAAGGGCTGTAGTAAAACAATGTAGAATTGCACAGACCCTTTAAGGGGTCTGTGCCGACTCATGTCAGACGCAACCCAAACCTTACTGCTGACTCAATCCAGTACGGATGCGACAAGGCTATGCAATTTTCATCCACAAAGACCACGCTGCCATCCCCTTCCCACGTCCAAGGCTCCACCTGCCTGCCCCAACAGTTGCACTGGTACGTAGACATTGGCAGGTCGGGATACCCACTCCAGTCAACCATGCATACACTCCAGTGAGCACGGACACTTGAAAGACTTGGAACTCTCCTGCTGACCCGCTCGACGAGGGAAAAAAATGGCCACTTCCCGGAGCAGGGCTGAGCAAACGTCTGCCAAGTGATGCCAAAACACTCCTCTCTGGCAATCTCGCAAATTCTGCGCACGACACTCAAACTTGGACACGTGTTTCTCACCAAAACAGACTAAACTTGGTGAACGTGTGGTACATCATGGCACAACACAACCTACTTGAGTATCTATGACTCCCGATTTCCTCAGCAGAAAAAAAGGAGAGTATATTTAGTAACAAAAATGCTTGCGTGACTATAAGGAAAGGGAACTGGGTTTTCTAAAAACAGCCAGGAAATTGCTGTATCGAAGCTTTCAGTACATAACAACCCCAGAGACTGAGATCCGAAACATTTAAAGGAAAAGAAAGTCGGTGTACGTCATTCCCGTGAATATGACTAAGGGCTCGGTCTCGTTTGAAGTATTCCTCTCACTCAGACAAGCTCGGGATGTAACCAAAATACCACATCAGCTGATAATCCCGTCTTGTCGTCGTTCCTTAGACAATGCGTATCACTCCGAGTGTCTTGGTCATTTATTGCCGCCTTCCTCTGTCCCTATGATCCCGTTTGCTTTGAAAGATCACACACATGTCAAGTTGGTAAACTACGGCGGGGGAGGGGACTCGGGAAGAGGATGTGGTTATTTAGCGCAAGGTTTGGGGGGCAGATGTCTGGTGGGCAGTGGCGAGGGGTGGAAACTGAGGGCTGGAATAACTGACTCAATGACATCTTCCTTCTGGGAAGGCAGAATATTGATATGGCTAGTTTTGATTCAAAGTTGGTAGAACAGCATGTACAAATCGAGATCTAACCTAAATCCGGACAGTGTCTTTGTCAATAAGTCAGTGGCTAAAACCAGAACTCTAACCTGTAACATTATGAGCTCAGAACAACAAAAAATAATACAAATACAATAAACATTTTGTAACCATCTTCAGAAAGGGACAAAAGTCTCAATGGAGAGTAAAAACTAGGTTTTGAGAAAATCACATTTGAAGTTGGCCTCTTTATCAAATACTTAATTTCCCCAGCATTTGGCATTCCTTTGACTTATCAAGTGCTACTCCATAAAAGAGGGGATCTCAAATGACACAGAACTAAAAAATAATATTCACTTTCAATTAAAATTGCTTATTATGTAAAGAAATAATTTTGTTTGTTCGTGAAAATGCTGAAATTCATGTGACTTTTGTCTCTGCATGAAAACAGCACATGGAATGTATGCATCTGCAATCGCCCCGTGCCAGGTGCAAGATTGTTACATTTATATATATTTCCAGAGTCAACTTTGTCTCTTTGTGAAAACAGCAACGCAAGTTTTGCCCGTGGTTTTGCCTTTTCTTGCTGACATTTTATCCATGGAAGGCAAATTTATCTTTTTGTGAAAATGAAAAATGCAGTGAAGTTGAATTTTGCCCCAAGGAGATCATTGTGATTTGGCTGATTTCAATAGATTTGGTAAAGAAATGATTACACCAAGTTGTTAAAAAAAAAGAAATAAAAAACCCTGATTTGGGGTGAACTTGTCTCTTCATGAAAATGGTGACAATTTTTCACACACTCAAAAGGGGTTTGAATGTTTAAAGCAAAGCATGGTCTGGGTTATAGGTTAATCCATGCTTGCAAACAGTTCCTTGAACAGCATTCTACATTAAAAAAAAAATTCCTGATTCCCTTGAGTGTAATGCAATAAATATGGAATGTTATCTTCAACATGTATGTACATGTATATAAATTATACAGGAAGTAATGAAAAGGATACAACTTGGAATATGATATGCCCAACAATGTTGGCAAAGTTCCGATTAATTTCAGAGGTGCATGAAATATGAATTTTTTGGGGGGAGGGGGCTTGTTTTTTCATAAAGGGTAAAAAAACTTGCATACATGTATGGTTGCTGAACTCGTAGAATTTCCCCCGGGCACATACGGTAGATTTCTTACAAATTTTGCTCTTTGTTTTCAGAAAAATGGACAATGGAAACATGGTCACTGTTACTCACTCAGTTCACAGAATCCCCCAAAAGAGATTTCAAACCAAATTCCACTTGAAAATCTTGATTTTATTCAATTTGTAAACAGTGAGTAAAAATTTGAACACAGTGAGCCTTTGGCAAAGGAATCAACGGGCAGGTTTCGTTTGAGGCGGTGAAGCACAAACAGGCCAAAGCTTGAATTAGCCTTTTGCAAGTTAAATTTGAACAAACTCTGGTACGCTGATTTCTTCAAATTTATTTGAACGTAATTTGAATCCTTCGCACAAAAGACACAGTTCCTGTACATGTATCTCACGATTCGGGACAAGCATTTGCTTTAGTTCAAAACATACATGTATGCCTTGCACCACTTCACTGTTTTCATTGGTTAAAAATGGCACAAAGGAACCAGTCCATTCCAGAGGTGGTGGTCGCTACCTGCTATGCAAAAGCAAGCTCCAAATCACAAGGTATAACGGTATCTTTAGTCTGGGAGTTCATACTGTAATGTTTATGAACAATCTGATTATAACTCAGTGTATCAGATTTTAATCAACCTGAACCCACAAAAGGCGAATTGAGGAAAGTAGTGCATGCATTTACATGTACATGTACAATGTACGGCCCTTCAAAAAGGTAAAAAGGGACAAAGACAAAGAAAGAGAAGGGAGGAAAGAGATGAAAATCGCCCATAATTTCCTTGAGCATGTCGAGCATACATGCGACTTGGAATGGACCCCTCCTGTGGTTGATGGTTGGTCGCTCAGCTACTTAGAGCTATGATCCCTCCCCAGAGCAGTGGCACTCTCGGGGGAGGGGAAGAATGGGAAGGAAGGAAGCGCGGAGGCTTGAGTTTCCTGCCCCAGGGTGTTTCAGTTTTGCTTTCTGAAAAAAAAAAGAATGTAAATGTAAACCTACATCTGAAACTACTACTGAGTAGCTCTGATACAGCCATGAAAATCTCAGTTCCCTGTGGCACAACTAGGGAGGAAGGGCTTGAGGATCATGAGCTATTTCGGGGGGTTATTCTGGTCCGAGATCCCCCACCCTTCCAACAACAATTCCTGGGTGCACCACTGCCCAAGACAGAGCTTTGCCCCCCTTTCTGGCGACACCCATGCAAGTCACCCGTCACCAGTAACAAACGGAGAGGTTGGGGAGACAGTTGGGAACCACTGGTGCCCATGCAACCGGCTCAAGAGCAAAGGCAAAGACGCTACAGACTTTGTGAAGTCACCCACGCATACTCCATGCAAGATGAGCACAAGCGCAAGTGGCATGCTTCCCAAGCGAAATTGATGCCAAGTCAAAGAACAAGAGCTCCTTCTCTTATTAACGCATTTAAAGACAATGGAGGAATCTGGGCACAAGACTACTGTTCACACACAGGAGGGCCCTTATAGAGACATTTTGTGCAAACTATTGTTCAGAAAGACCATCAAGGGCCTGTTGTTTTCGCTCCATAGCTAGCCTCCTGCTCCAGCAGCTTCTTGGGGCTTAATATGAAGCTGAGAGCAATCACACACCCGTAAATCCACCCCATCCAGGAGATGAGCTTCCCTGTATTCTGACAAGAAATGCCGGGAGCTACGGCTGAGACTACACGTAACACAGATGGATGTGGCTTCCATACATGTACGTAACCATGTATTGTCCAGCCACAGCCATTACCTTCAGATGAGGCTGAAGAGTTGTGTCCCCGACAATGGCCAATCAAGCATGCACCACCACTTCCCTCCATGGGGAATCAGCTGAATTGTAGAGTCTTTGCTGAACAGACTTTCGTTCTACAAGGCTACGACATAATCCATCTCAAGCTGTGGGCAATGGCATCCAAGCCCATCCCCAAACAATATCCACATACATGCAACAGTTTCAGTACATGCACAACGTCTGAGGGGAAACATTTTTTTAAAAACATTAACCCCTCCTTGGCGGGAATTTCTTTCCGAAAGCCGACTCCAAGAATTCCAGCCTCGCTTGGCCACGAGGGCCACCTGCCAAACCGCAAATTCACGGTTTGTGGCCCAGCGTGCTCTGCCCGCTTTGAATTATACGGTGAAAAGGCTGATTGTTCGGTGGCATGTGGCTCTACTCAAGCTTCCACATTCCCGTTGCCTCTTTTCAAAGTGGGGACTATTGTGAAGCTGGTGATTACCATTCAAATTCGGTCTTTTCATTTCTGGGCTACCCACAAAGACCAATTACCACATACACGAGAGCCAGGGTCTGCCTTCTTTCACTGTGTTCGTTCGAGCGTGGGCCGAGAATAATAGCTGAAAAGCGGGCTGAGGATCTCAATTTTCACGGCGTGTGTTAATGTGTCCCGGCGTGAAGGGGTTAACAAATTTAGTAAACTTTTTAAACTACATGAATCACAAGGGTATAATTTCTGAATTTCTTTTCTTTATGAATAAACCCAGGAACTGCAACCGACCCTCCAGCTTTGATAATTTCCTATTTGTTTTGGACCTTCACTTTCATCTTTGAGTGGGAGTGGTGACGTGCGAGTGCGTATTCAGAGGTTCTACATGCAAATGACCCCCAAAACAACTGACCTACATGTACATGTAACCCAAATAAACCCTATCTGATACAATCCTGCAAACTGGTCAACAATGCACGGCAGCGTACAGAGGAAGTTAAACCCTGTTGTATCTACAGAAATCATGGCCACGTTCCTTCCTGTTCATCATGCCATTGTTGGCATGAAAGACCCAGATAACTGTCATTACGGTACGAGTGCTGGCACATGTGGAACAGACAGAGGAAAAGGCAGTAAAAATCCAGACTGATGACAACTTGACTCGTCTTCAGGGGGGGGGGAATATGGCTGCATGGCACCCACCTACATGTACATGTAATACAGCCGTAGGGGCGTGCCTACAGAATGCTGATGATAAAATTCAATGTGGGGATTCGTTTATGTTTTGGTTTCCAATGACAAGGTCAAGTTTGATTTGCGACCATTTGTCAATCACTGATCAATTTTCGTCTAGTCCTCAGGATGTGTGTTGTGCAGACATGTAGGTTACCAGGGAAAATGAGATCGTTGGTGGACAAGCATGACAAATGGTGGCTAAACGAGCATGGCCTATGCCTACTGCTCTCGGGGGAAAACAACCAGTCCCGTCTATATTATGAACATACACGGAGAGCCAGTACATGTTCGTGTATATGTTCAGACTTTATTTTTTGACTTGACTTCTTAATTTACTTTGAGCTAAAAATTGCTATTTATCAAAGAAATTTTAACTCTGACACTGCAAAAATATGGAACAACTTCCACTTCTGGCTGGAGTGTCAGTTGCACTCTCTGGCCATGGTTTTTGGCTGCAATGGATGAATGAGCAAGAAAAAGATCAAATGAAATTATGAAGATCTATATTCAACATATGAAGATAATTCTAGGTGCTAGATTTAAATCTTTTTATATTGGGCTTACAAGTCAGTTAGTTCATAAAAAGATCTTTTATTTTTCATTGGCCTGAACATTAATACTTTTTTCCATATGATTCCAAATAATATATCTTCATCATTTAAGCTTAAATTATATCAAATACAATATGAATAATCATTGGATAGTCATCTGATATGAAAAATGAGATAAAACAGAAAGAGTAAAACATGCATATGTTAACTGCTACATAGCCTATGGGGCAGCGCGGAAATCCAAGATTCTTGCGAAATGACAGGTACTGCGCCGGTGAAAACAGCGACCTTGGTGATGTACGCACGCACCAGCCAGTCCGACGATCGGTTTATACAATCTTTTCTTCGATCTGTACGTACGTGAGCACTCGTTGCAGTTGTTTTCACCGGCCGCGGTGTGGTTGCTACCCGTATTTTTGTTAAACTCCCAGATGTCCACGCTGCCCCATATGCAGAGCTTGAGCTTGTGCACCACACAATGGGGGGATTATTAATGTTGTCAAAAAATTTATGAAGTCAGACCAGTTTCAAAATGCTTCCTCCATGACGCACTGCGCAAGCACTCTAATACTTTTTAATAGGAACAGGGTCCTTAAACATGGACTGCCCTCAAATGAAATAGACAAAAAGAAATTAAGAACAATACAAAGTCCGACAGTGACACAAGTCAGTTTAGATGAGCGTGATGGTGAACATGGTGAAACAAAGTAAGCACTGTCAGACTGTCATGACGGTGCTCCCAATTGCTGTGTGCATGCTGCATTAGCATGAATTATTACTACTAGCCCAGCTGCGTCAATTACTAACATCAAAGTCTAGCCCTGGTACATACCTAATATTTAAAGACCAACCCTACGATAAATGGATCTGACTAAAAGCAACCATGATGAACACGTGTTTCAAGCTCTGCCCACTGCATTTGAATGCAGTTGCGCGCAGTTTGGGAAGAGACTGCGGCCTTCACTTCCCAACTAGTAAAAGTCCTTTCACACAGTCCACGTTTCCTAATGTTCGTAAAACAGTGCATCATGTGTTTGTCCGGCCGTCCTTCAAGATGAAAAGGAAAAACAGGAAGCAATGTATCAAAAACAGACAGGAAAGCTGAGAGGAAACACCCTCCTTACCTGGCTTGCTGGCGGTAAGGCGGCCATTTTGCAGCTCAGTACAGTTAAACTGCATGCATTCTTCTCAAGATAACTGGCGGCCCGTCCCATTTATTTTGAAGAGCGCCCCCTTTCGCTTAAAGCCAACCCACCTGGTTTTTTGTTTTCGTGGCATCGGGGCTTTGTGTTTGGGTTCTAGCAACTCGATTGAATTTGGTTTTAATTTTGGTAGGATAATGGAGTTTATTCAGTTTACCTTTGTACTTGTGGCAGCTTTATGTGCTATCTATTACAGTGGCCAAGGACCTCATCTGATGAGGTTAGTGTGGTTGAAAATCATGTCTTTTGGAACCATCGTCGATGAATTTAGGTGGTTCTGCAAAAACGGGACTAGGGCCCACTGCCTGGCCGCACAGAAGCTTAGTAGTCCTGATACAAAAACATTGATTATTGTATTAAAACAGTTGACAACGCTTTTCGTCCTCATTGCCACAATCATCAACACCATCACCACTGTCATCTTCACGATATTACACTGCAATCATTCTTGACCTTATATCTCCATGACCAGCACCACCACATCATCATCATGCAAATGGCAATCAATATCACCATTACATTCTGGTCGTCCTTATGATAACCGCTTCATTATTCCCATCATTACCATTACAGTCACCATCACCATCGTTATCAACATCCTACATTTTCATATATTCCTACAGGACAACGCCTGCAATTTTTATTCCTTCAACATATTCAACAGTGCATTGTCGTTATTAATTTCCATGCCAACTCATCTTCTCCATCGTCCTCGTCAGGAGGCTGAACGAACTCGTGACAGGCAAAAAAGGCTGTTCCCCGGTGGCCGATCTTGATTTTGTCACGCTTCATTACTTTGCGGGGCGTGGGCGGGGCGAAGCCATTCGTCTGATGTTGGAGGAGGCAGGCATTCCGTACAACCAGACAGACTTCACCATGGAGACCTGGCCCCAAGCCAAGAAGGCAGGAATCAAGTCCGGAATTTACACATTTGGGCAAGGTAAATAATTATAAAAGATTTGCCTGAATAATGTCAGCACTCAGTTATTTTCAAGGTAAAATCTTCAGTAAGCACCTGTAAAGTTTTTCCTTCATGGATCTCCATCTGAGGCAACTTTTCCTTTCTTTCCGTCATGGTTCTTCAGCTTTGCAAAAGTGTATGCCTTAGCTCTGAAGTGTTTCTTCATCCATTACAGTGGCAGTTGTTCATAAGAAATTCAACAAGTTTTGAAATACCACCTCTTGAAATTGACTAATGAAGATATGAAAGATCAGTCTTTGTGCAAAGAGTTCAGCTTTAAGCTCTGAAATCTAAACCTGTTCATCCATTCTCAACTGGGAGTGAGTGAACAGGTCTTTGTTACTGCCACAGAACAATAAGCGGATAGCTTTTCAATCCTCTGTGAGCATGACCCTATCCACCTCTTGGAGATAATCTGTACCTTAAGGCTCTTGGAGATAAGGTGTGGTTGGGTTGTTAACCTTGAATAACTCAATTTCTAAAGGCTGGTCATTTGGGAATAATGCAAAACACAGCCATGATGACACATCTCAGACTCATGTTCAGGGGGGGTTGTCCTAATTTTTTGTCCCCCTTGGATGACTAGCTCCTGTTTGGTGATTCAACGGTGCATATGTGTCTATCCTTCCTCTTTGGCTAATGGTTCTCTTCACGGTATTTTTTTTTTACGTCCTCTCTAATTGTTGATACAGTCCCAGCTATGGTGACGCCGTCCGGCCTACACATGGTGCAGAGTCAAGCCATGGCCCATTACATCGGCCGGGCCACGGGCATGGAATGCGACTGTGAACAGCTCCACCACTGCGAGGTCATCGCCCTGGGCACTGGTGAGGAGACCCGGTCGTGTCGGGTCTGTCTGTTGGACCGTCTGGGTGTCAGTCCGTTTGGTTTTCCAACGACGGTTGCTGTGACACGTCCTGGCAGCCCTTTGTTGAGAAAGTAAAAACACATTTGTGCAGGGAAAAAAGTAGTATTTTTGAGGGGGGAGGGATATTTTAAATAAAGGCGAATTGCAATTTCAGTCAGATTTCAGAGATGGATGGGAACTTGTCCTCCATCTTTTTAGACTGCAGCTTGGAGTAAAACAAAAAAGAGCAGATTGATTAAAACAGGTGGATTGTTCAGGCTAGTGAGGGAAAGTGGGAACGGTTGACTTGCTGCCTCTTCAGAAAAATACCACTATTTGTAAGATGGTCACGGAGGCTGTAATGTATGACTAACACCCACTGACAGGGTTTCTTAGCTCTGTAGTAGTTTTATCTTAGCGTAGTTGTCTGTTTTGTTAACTTCATACTCGTCTTTCCACAGTTTGTCCTACCGTTGGTTGTTAAGCCAACTGTCTATCTGTCCGTCTGTTTCCAATCTTGTCTATTTGAACCCTGATCCACCTCAGAATGCTATAAGGTCCAAACTGGTCGTACAAACATGTAGAACCTTGTTGCATTGGGAGTTAATGAGAGCCATTCAGCTCTTTGGCAGTAGATAGTGGATCTGCTTTGTATCCTGTGATGGCTGACTGTTTGACCTCCAGACAGATGACCCTGTTGATCATGTTCCTCTGAGCATGGCTTCTCTCTCACTCTACCAACTGCAGACGAGGTGGTTTCTAGCTGAAACACTGTGTAGGTTGGGAAGGGTTGATGTACTAACGTGCTTCTGAAAAGGAGGGATTTCTTTATGTAAACTTCTTTCCTCTCAGAGGTTAACTATAAATCATGTGTAACTGCCTTGCTAGTTGTAACCTGAACTGCTCAAAACTACCCAAGCATGTCCTGTACATTTCACCTGTGAATGTGTCGTGTAGATACCAATGGTCTCATTTATTTCTTTTCTTTTTTCAAACTTTCAGTAATTATTTTTTTCAATGTTGCCATTGTTTCCTGGTACTTACAGAGGACTTCCGTAGCAAGCTGAGCAAGATTATCTATGACCCAGGCTTCTCCGTGAAGATGAGGGACGAATATCTCCAGTCCACGGCACCAATGTGGCTGGAGCATTTTGAGAAGCTGGCGCCCAGCATCCAGGCGGAGGTGAGGGTCCCACAGGATGAAAATATTCAGGGCAAACTGAGACTTGAAACTGTACCCCGTCCCTTGTTTGGCAAACTGTGCTCACTCTGTTAACTGGACTCAACACAGTAGTGTTGTGTGCGAGTCCATCACAAGTCCATCTCGAGTCATTCTGTCTTCAGCCAATTCACAAGATATTCAAATGAACATTCCTTTGTCATTGTTCACCCTGTTACTTATGAGTTGCCTTGTGAAGGGACTTGTGAAAGGACTTGCGAAAGGACTTGTGTTAGACTTGACTCCAACACTATTTCACAGCAAGGCATACAAATTTGGTGCAAACCAAGAGCAGCCCTTGTCCATCGTGAAGCCCAGCATTTTACACCAGGGATATTTTTCAAGCAAGCTTCTAATGTTTAATTCTTGAATGCTTAAGGTGCACCACTACCAAAAAGTGTGGCATTGTTTCATCGAAGTCGGCTGGAATGAATCAGGATATATCAAGGAATGTAGTCATATGCTGTGCCCTGGAACTTTCAACCGCTAAGTTGGCACACAAGGCAAAGCTGTGTTGCAAATGGCAAAGTTGTGCTGAGCAGACTGATCTGATTTGAGCAAGGAGCAAGTCCTTTTCATTTAGCCTTGTTAGTGACAGGACCCGGCTTAATTACCTGTGGGGTGACGTGGGGCGCATGGGACCGTGTGTGATAGGATCCAACTGAGCAATTGAGGGTAATTATTCCGTCCTTTCCTCCCCGGTGCCAATATCAGAACCAGGCCCAAGTAATTTCTTTGTTAGGGGGGGAATGAACGTTGTCTCATTGCCATGTGGCCCATGCATGGGCTTCATTAAATGGCTTGGCTCATACCCTGAACACTCACCCTGAAGGAAGTCGTGCCAACTACCTGCCCCGTAATTTTTCACTTAATGGTAGATCGCGCTTCTCTCTCTCTTTGTGCAGGACGTGGCATACTTCGGCGGCAAGCACATCACCTGGGTGGACTTCCTGGTCTTCGACCTGCTGGACGTCAACATGGAGTTTGGGCAGGTGGACCTGGGGCGCCCTCAGGTGGCCATCCTGAGTAACTACCCCAAGCTGCAGTCGTTCTACAATCAGTTCCGGACGCGGCCGCGCATTGCCGCGTATTTGAACAGCAGCAAGCGGGCACCTTACAAGCTGCCCTACGTTCCCACTGTCAAGAAACAAGAAATTGCCTAAAATATACCACAAGAATAGAAATGCTTTTTAATTCGAAAAGCAGTGTATCGACAGAGTATCAATCATTTTATCTAATTTGCTTGTTCACTGGCGCCTAATCTTTTATTTGAATCACAGGCAATAAGTTTACCAGTTTTATTTTTCACTTCTGGAGTACGTTTATTTCAAATTTCTTTCCTCATGTGCTCCAGTAGCAGCTGTGAAAACATTACAAGGTATTCAGGATCCTTCAAGTAGCTTTCTGTTCTTAATTTAACGGGCAGCAGAGAATGGAGAGGATTGGACTGAAAAGGATGCACACTAAAAACATTTGTTGCAAATGTGCATGGGTGCCAAATGCATGAAATTGTCAGGACACCTAACATGCATGCTTAAAGCCTTTTTTCCCAGATCACATTCACTGAAAAATTTAAAGTGATGAAACTGCAAAGCAGGATAATTAAATGAAACAAAATCAAAGCTTGAAAATTAATTCTGCCACTAGTAAATGCCTTCATTGTTTGAACAGAAATAGAATTTTGTCTTTTACATTGATGTACTTATGAAATATGTTTCCTCGGTATTGTTTGTATAAATTGCTTCAACTGTATATTCCAAATTGTATGTATGTCATCATGGTTCATCGCGTAGTTCATGTGCGCGTTGCAACTGCTCGTCAGTGCTAGAGCATGTTTTCTCAGAGTGCCTTTTTGACACCTGTTTAATACATCCAATTTGAAAGCAATACATATATGACATTGTTTATGAAGAATTTAAGATCACGTCAAGGTAAAAATTAAAAAGATTTTGAATATCTGACTTTTACAAAATCAATTCTTTTGTCATGTTTGGAGTGTTATTTTACTGAGACTGTGGCCCTTTCTGTTAAATATGTATTGGCAATGATGCAACCTTTCATCTGGTCTTGTGGTGGTCTCAACCGCCACACTGATCAGTGACCCTAGCCTTGTTTGCAGACTGCCTGTGCCAGCAAACTGCTTGGTTCATGGGTAAAATGCTTGGTTCAGTTCTTGCGACATAACCACTCAACCGAGCAGAGAGCTACCTGAAAGTTGTGAGAAAGAATTCCACATACGGCTGCCGCTCGACACCCCGTGTACAAACCCTATGAAATGGGTCCGACAAATTCTGAGTGTTTTCCAATCGAGCACCTCAATATTTTCACTGCTAAAATTGACTCTGTAGAACATTCTGTAGCTTTCACATGGCTGATGGGTCACTGCAGGGAAAACTTAGTGGCATCCATACATGGAATTCTTTCCAAATCGTGCGTCTTCAAACGAGGAAAAGGTAGATTTGAAATGAAACCTCATATGTTTGAAATGTCCAGTCGGGATAAAAGAAGTGGAAGACACACGTTGCATCAGGAGTGAATGAAAAGTGATGATCAGTGGTTGGAATGCCTAATTCAGAGAGATGCAAGACGGGTACGGCAGCGTGTCTTCCACACACAGTCTGAAGGACAAAAATAACTCCACATCTGCACTGTTTACTTGATCCAAATAATTTATTATAAAATTGGAAAATTTCTCAATTTTCTCAATCAACTTTACTTTATGTTCACTTATACACTCTCTCCTAACAACGTTCATAGTCATTTCTTTTAATCCAATATTTTTTTTTCTATTTTTTTAAATTTTATTTTTATTTCTCATGAACCATTCATTGGAATTAGTTGAAAATCACTGACCGACGTGGGAACATAACCGGCCTTTCAACTTTTTGTTACCCTGAGCTTGATGGCTCTAACCACGAGTCTCTACAAACAGCGACATTTCCTCACCGACTACAAACACTACTATAAATTTACTAGAAAAATTCATTCTGTTTTTAAAAGTTACAGTTTTTTTTGTTATAAACACAGAGTTCTACATAAAAACAGACCACCATGCCGGCCTGAAGATTACGTGATATACAGTACAATAGGTAATACAGTACAGAAACATCAGGAGAGGTCTCCAATCATACCATCGTCATTTTTCAAAATAAACTATACTGTGAAATTAACCACAACCTCCAGTGCTAGGTCAAAGGTGAAGAGGATGTCTCCAAGACTATAGTTTTTCTTGGTGGCTGGCCCCAGAGGCCCGTATGAGACATTTCATATGCTTTTCATTAATGCATACCCTTTTGACACCTGTTGAGTTTGTGTATGGGCCTCGAGCTGGACCATGAGACAGACGGTGCTATTTTCTTAGCAACAGAGGCTCCTTTGATACCGAACTGCACTTCTTTGGTTCACAAACGACCAAGAAATGCAAGCGTCACGATCGCATTGCTACCAAGAGAACGAACACTCCCCGATCAACACGGCTCTTTTCAACTAAAGTATAAGGGGGTCTTTCTGCTCGAGGCTGCTTGGCCTTGACAGGGTCAAAGGTCACATGTCAACAATAGGGGCCCCTCAGCTTGGGTCAAATGAGGCAAGCAATAGCCACATACTTGACAACGGCTTGAAGTACAACATACGCCTGTGGTAAGTGCACAATGCCACTCGACGTATGCTTCCATAGACGCTCGCGTTAATTTTCCAATGTAATGTGTGGTACCCTGAAGCCATGTGCATAATCGCACAGTGCATTCGGGCATGTAGTGACTCATTCTCAGCTTCAAGAAATCCAATTCAATTGATTCAATAAATCACTTTACAGACAACATAAGAACAGCCTTTAGATGGCTGTTCATAGAGTGGACTGAGGCATCAAACGTGGATGTCACTGTGCACATTCCAATTTCAGAAGCAACCCTACGTTTGCAACTTGTTCTAAATACTTCACCATCAAGTAACAACTTTGTTTCCTGTAAAAGCAACAACATCGTGTTTGTGACGCAAAGTTTTTCACTAACACTGGAGAGTTACAGAAAAAAAAAAATAAACAAACAAAGCAGGCTGGCTAACCTGAGAATCCAAACAATGAAAAAGACCCCCCCAAAACAAAAGTCCCCACATGCATTAAACAAAGAAAGCCACATTGTGATCACCTTCACACACAATATACTTGTTCTCCCCCCCCAAAAAAATAAAAAGAATGCCTGGACACGACTAAAATTTGCAGAATATGCCACTCTATCTCCACCTTTGAATAACCTGGAGAAGTAAGAGACAACAAAGATAGAGACGGTGACAGAAGTGATGTAATATTGGTAGAAGAAAGGGCAATGTTTCCACTGCCTCGATTCCACAAAAAGGAGGGCTACACAACGTCCTTCATAAATAAATAACCAATCTGTTTATATATATATACAAACATCCGTAAGGACCAACAAACAAACTGACATCTACACATGGCACAATCATGCAGGTCTCCCCATTATGCTGCACACATTTTCCGATCTCTATGCCTGCTCCGATAAAGTATAAATTAATGAAATAAAACTGCTTTACACGGTGGTCATTTGCTGGCCACAAACAAAACTAAAAATAACATTTTGACGGTTGCTAAAAATTCACTACATTGCACCTATGCCTAGTAATAGTTGTATTTTTTTTTCTTTTTTAAAACTTTTTTGTTCATTCTCTATTTCTACAACATCTAGAGACTTGCTTTCACTTTTTTTTCCGTATTCATTTCTAAAACAGTCATCTACACTTGAAACCTTTACAGCACCATTGTGGCAGTTCACATCTGTCAGGCCAGACAGCAGTTTTCTACACGATTTAGACATTTCCAATCAAATCAACCCAACCTAATCTCTCAAAATCAAATTGTCTCCCCCAAAACTCAATCCTTTAAACCTGTTGTTGTTTTTAAGATATGCAGCAACACTTTCTCGTTAAATATGCAGCACCAAACATCCAAGATTTCTCCGTCCATGCTTCTTCAACACCCAGGGTCAAAGGCTATAAACTCCACCATTTCTTGGTTACCATGCCCGAGTTGGTATTTATGTAAATATATGCAAAAGCAGTTTAATGGGACTGGTTATACTTTACTATGTTCTGTTGAATATGATACTTGACTGGTTTACTGCAGCAGTACCTCCTGCTAACTCATAAATATTTATAATGTATGTAACAATAACATCACATCTAAACAGTGTTTTGCTTTAAGATAATGGAGTACATTTGTACAATCATGCAAACGTGGTTACTTCCATGAGTGTAAAATGATAAAATGAGGTAGATACACATTTTCATACAATACCAGATACAGGAAAAAATTATTCGGGACTTAATCGCTGAAATTTCAACCGAAAGAGAAATTACACCATGAACAAAAATCTCAACAAAACACCTCCCCTGAAAAAAATGGAGGGTGGGCACAGAAAGGGGAAGAAACAAAAATTCCTAACCCCTAGTTCCTCTTCCCAACAAACAGGAAATAAGCAAAATACAAACTCTATCTATTCTGCCATGTAATTGGAATAATTATGGAGTTCTAGCTAATCAATGGCAACTGGTCATAACCCAATGCCAAGGCTTTGAACATTTATAGGTATTATGCTGGGCACATTTGAACACCTCCCATCTGGTGTTTTGCTCTCAGTCCAAACCTCAACCAAAGCAGGCCCACATAATCCAGAACTAGTGGCCACTCACTCCCTGTCAAAGTCCATCAATTGTAACCTGGTTTTGCAGACAAACGTATATATTTGTGGTATGCAATCTTGTGTGGATATTCCTGTGTTTCTGTATAGCTCAGGGGAACAGTGAGATGAACACTCTTCCACCCTGAATACGGGCGATTCACAAACGCACACTGGGTCGACACATTTAATGCATCGAGATTGACCGATGCGTAGCAAACTCTTGGAGACGCACTGTTGTGAATCACTTGTACGTTTGGCCATGACTTCCTCAGAAGTTCCTTAATTTCCTTTTCATTTGATTACAGACAACAGTAACCAAGGAATTCCTCTTACCACCCCCTCAGGAAGGTAGCCTTGTGTGGACCTGTGCAAGTCCACACAAGGTCTCACAAGTCCACACATGGAATTACAAGTCTGCACATCTCAAAAATCACGACCCACTTGCAGCCGAAGGTGAACCTGTTTAACCCTGACCCTCATGAAAAAGAAAAAAGGCCCAGAGGGTAGGCCGTAATGTGTTCATCAGTCATCACCGGTATTATGTTCAAAGCAGCTTCTGTGGTGACACAAACCCCAGCTTTGTCTTTAATGCTTGCCAGCGGTGTCAGCCTGGCCAAGCTTGGGCGTGTGCCCCTGTGTGTATGCGCGCCTCGTTGAGTGAGGTCCTGGTTTCTCGTGTCAGGTGGAGATGTATCCAGACGGGAAACCAGCTCGGTTTCCTGCCATTATGGCTGATGATCAATATCACACATACTACGTGACAGGACGGGGGGAGGGGGTCGGTGGTTGGGGTTTGAAGCTCAAGGTTGAGCACAGGTATTCCAATTCTTTCATTTTCTTGTTCTCGGTTAAAAAAAAAAATCATCACAAATTCTCAAATTTTGACGTTTTTAACTGAAGCTCCGATGATTTCTTAAGCCCAGGTGGCAATGCCCCTGAAATATTCCCCTTGGGGTTCATCAAGCCACTGAGCCCTCTCTTTTCTTTTCAGCTGGAGGGGTATCAATCTCCATTGGTGGAAAATATGCCCCCAGCCCCTAACATTGGCTGCAGAGGAGGTTAAACTGTCAATTTTTATTGGTGCTATATGCTGGTCCCGTCTAGGCCATTTGTTTCCCATTGCAGGGCAAAGAGGTCAGATTCCTCCAGCTGTTTTTGCCTAAAGGTCGGGCCAAAAAACCCAGGGGCTGGCGTCCTCAACCGACACCCAGTTGTTTCCACGTGTTCGCGAGCATGGCGCCCCCGTGGATGTTCTCCAGTGCTGCACTAACGCGAAAGGAAACCAGCCGTAACTGGGCCCGACTGCTGGGTAATGGGGCGGTAATCAACGGGAAACCCGTACAGCATTGGCGGAGGAAGTCGTGGGGATATCGGATAATTTTATCTATGTGCGGTCGACGGAAATGCTGAGCATTGAAACCGGGCCCGAATCATAAAGCGATTGTTGTTTTGTGGCCGAGACTGGCAAGTCGATGCCTGGCCCTAGAGAGCCCACATAAATAACCCAAGCAACACCACATGTTATGAATCACACGGCCCATATGGGCTCTAATCCCCACCAGGCTCTTTGGCAAATAAATGTGAGCAGGAAAAAAAACTCCACTCCGTTATACATCTAGCCTTGTTCATGAACTAATCTTCACGTCCAACATTCAGATTTTTTAATTTTTTCCTTTTCGTTTGCAACATTAGCAGGAAGTTTAAAAATGTCCGAGTCAATGCTTTTATGAAAACAATGAATTTCTGTTGGACGTGTTACGACACGCTAAAGTCAACAACTTCTACAATTTTTGGTGATAAAATTCCTTGCACAAATCGAGAAGGTGTACATTTTAAAACTGGAAATGGCTCCTTTTTTCCCTCTTTTTAAAAACTCTGTTTCTTTTAAAAACTTCATACATTAAAACTGATATTGTCATTGTTTTGTAGATTTCTACAATACTGTTTTGGTAGTTCTTGTTGCAGTGTCCAGACAGGATGAACAGGAGTACTCCTTGCCATGGGACACACTGATGACACGCAAAAAAAAATACAGGCATATCATTGCACTGTGTTTTCACACATGCGTCCGACTGGTGAGTGTGGACTGGTCCAAACCGGCCCAGATTAAAGTGGAATGAACCGGAACAAACTAGTTTGAACCAGAACAACGGGGTTCAGTTGCGGTTGCAGGTTGACACTCAATTTAAAAAACTTTGCACTGTGACCAGAAAAACTGTACTTTTCTTCATAAAAAGCAAGGATGCTATCATTGACGGCTACAACCATTTATATCAAGACGGGCGATTTTAATTTTTGTTTGTAAAAGGACATGACGATTTTTCCACTCGGACTGGCCACACGTCATCCGAACCGCTCCCGTACCAGGTGCATGAGTTTCTTTTTCCCCCGATACATGACCTTCAGATCCTCTATGAGTTTGGCGAAACGTATGTGGCCGTCCGGGGCCAGCAGGAACGTCTCCCGTGCCTTGCTGAGGAACTCGATGAAGTCGCCGTAGTGGCGGGGGCTGATGTGCGTAAGTCTGGAGTGGGCCGTGTTGACGTAGGCAGCGATGGCCGCATCCAGCAGCTGCCGCATGGGGTCCTTGTCGTGGGGCAGGAGCTTGATGCAACGCCGCTTGCCATCGGGCAGGCAACCCACACCAGGCGCCGTTAAGGTACATCTGCGTATGGACAGAAAGGGAAGGAGACGAGCAAGAAGAAAAAAAATAGTCAGCAGTGAGTCACACCGCTGTCTTCAAGTTTTCCTTCACTTCAATTTCTGGGCTGGAGATAGAGATATTTATGGGAACGAACATTCTGGGCCCTCCAAGATCGGATGGGATAGATTATCTTCTTACCTGTGTAAGACATCTGCTAGGACGGACGCACATTGCACACTCTTAACCACTAGAGGGATCATATTGCTCAGTTGTTCTCTGCCTAATGAGTGACTCAGGGCGCACGCCCAGTACACATCGTTAATGGAGGGATGAGTGTCCTGGTTGTAGCCCAACGTTAAGTTCCTCATGGCCAGTACGGCTAGGTTGTAGGCGTGGCTGGCATAGCCCCGGTGCTCCATGTACCGGGCGATGATGAAGAGCTGGGACGAGTTCATGGGGCCTGAGGCGGCGTCTACCACGATCTGGTAGGCTGCTTTGAAGGTCACGTGGTCCTTCTCACAGAGCGTCAGTGCGCAGAGCGCACAGGAGGGTGGGTCCTTGGAGGCACACTGCAGCGCCACGCTGCGGGCGTAGCGAGCCAGCTCCTCTTGCTGCGTCAGGCTGAGGTTGAGCCGCACGGCCGTGTTGGGTGCCATGATGGTGGTGGCCACCATGGTGGTGGCCTCCGTGGGCGAGAAGAAGGAGTACCAGGACTGCATGATGGTGATCAGGGCACTCACGCCGATCTCTGTGGCGCAAGTCACCATCCAGCGCACCATTTCCCGCCGGCGCCAGTTCATGTTGGAGAGCGTCATGCGCATGATGTGCAGGCCCAGGTCAAAGGTGGCCTTGAGAAGGGTGTAGTGGGTGGGGCCGTCCACGGGCGTGGCCACCTTGAAGGCTTCCTGGGCCAGCTTGAAGAGCTGGGAGGCACTGTGGATGTGATGCTGGGCAGCCTCAAGGACAGTCCGCAAACGACAAACGTCATCTACAATACAAACCACCCATTTTTCAATGGTTCAATGGGACATAATGCTTACTCTTGGACAATGACTCTCCGAAAAAGAATTTCTAACCTTTGACAATCAAAAAGTTTTACGACTTTCATCAAACAACCCCTTTCTGATTGACAACAAATGCACAGGTTTTCTTTTTCTCTGAACAACTTTCACATATAACCTGCTCTCAAACAAATGCATGCACTTTTAGGGAAAAAAATTGCAGACAATCTTCAATTTGTTTGTGCATTTGCAGAGAATAAATTCTGTGTCCTTCCAAAGAAACAGAATCCAAGCCCTAAGCGGCCATTTTGAGCGAGCTATGTCTGGTACCTTTTGCAGCGGTCATCATACAGCTGGCTAGCTCACACTGTTGCGCTTCAATGTGGCCCAGCACAAACCATCGCGGGTAACGGCCCATCAGCACACTGTTGGCAGCACTGCCTGGATTACTCGATACCTCCGCCAAAATTGGCAGTCTGAGAGAAGAAGAAACAAACCAACAAAGATATGAAGTCACAAGCAACCCAGTGAATGGTTCACAGTACAAAAAATACTGGGAACTATTAAAAGAATTGTTTCACATGTAGCCTCAGATGTGTCTAGTGCCTGGAGGCAACACACCAGGTAGCATGTATTACACTAGCCATTGAGTGTGGCACCAGCCCACAGGACATGCTGTGATGCCTTGGTTACTGCTTGAGGTTGCAGTGGACTGGTATTTACTTGAGGTTCAAAATGGCTTAAAATGATCAAGAAGGCAGGGTGCCAGTCTCCCTCCTGCGGTATACGGATGCCAATAGGGGTAAACTGCCCTGCTCAAAAACACAATGCATGGTTTGCGCCAGATCATACCAACTCCTCTTTTTTAATCACACAGTATTGACTTTGCAACTATAAAAGGGATAGGAGTGGGGTTGGACGGGAAGGGGTCCTGTCTGGGAAATCCAGGGAGGGTCTTACCTCATAGCTCGAAGCCCTACTTTGTACGCCAGATCCTCATAGTAAGGCAGTAGAGTCTGGAACAAGTAGCGGCCGAATGTGTGCATGGGGACACTCTCTGCAGGCACGTGGTAACTAAGACCACTTGATGGGCCTCCTAAAAAAGAGAGAGTCAAAAATGGTCCAATGAACTGTTGACTAACTTAAGTTTCCTGTTTGACAGACTATTAGTTCTGGAATGATGTGTCTCTCTTTCATGCCACTGTGATCTTTTTCCAAATCCTGGTTTTTGTCTCTCGTCTTCTGCTTCATCTTGAGCTTCACATCTGCTTAAATCAACCACAATAACATGTATTAGTATAACTAAACCAAATTTGTGAAGCTTAGTCCCAAAGCCTGAAGCCGGAATGCTCCCGCGATTTGCCAAGCACCCGTGGTCCCGTACCTTCCATGAGCGTGGTGGCCTGCCGCTGCAGCACGGCCACCAGCATGGGGTCCATGGCGATCTCCCGATGCCGGGCGATCAGCTCCTCCTCGGCGTGGCAGGCCTTGTCCTGGGCGTACAGCCCCGTGGGCATGAGGCGCTGCTGGCCCAGTCCCACCAGCACCACCTCGTAGGCCAGCGTCAGGTAGGTCTCGGGCTGCTGCTGCTGCTGGCTGCGGGAGCCCGGAATGGCCACGTGCCGGTACTGGCGCAGCGGCGAGCTGCTGCCCGCAATGTCTGCGTTGCTCGATTCTGTGGATTTTCAAGGAAAACAAACAGGGGAAAGAACATGAATGTAGAACAGCTTTAGCTAAACAAGAGTTTGCCTTTCACTGGCATATCAACGGAACTTCACAGGCTCAAAGTTCCAACCAACGCTCTGAATATTTAGGAAGTTCCGGTTCAAAAACATACACAAGGAGTTGGGATTAAGCCTTCAAGTTGCAATATGTTGACTCACTTCTGCACTGTGAGCATCCTTGTACTAACACAAAGGAACACACAAACAAATCTCCATCTGAACCAAAGTCACGACAATTTTGTTCTTCAAAATTCCAAATGCCTACCCACTCCACCCTCACTCCCCCAGCCGTATCAAAGCTTTAAAAAGCAACTTTCACTGAATCTCGGAAATATCATGGAAGAGGCCTGTAATTGATGGAAACAGCCAATCAGAACACGCTTGCCATGAGCTCCATGCTGCCACCCTACTCTCTCTCCCCCTCCCCCCCAAAAAAAACAGTTAAAAAAATGCAGTGAGAGCAGGCACGAAGCTTGGATCAGGGAGATTATCTATCGAGTTGATTCATCAACGATTCATCGTGGATCACTGATCAGTGACATCCTGGATCTCGGTCTTTGGCCCTCCCAAAGATATCAGGGCCTCTGCTGTTCAATCACAACCAGCGTTTCCATTGCCCTCTCTTTTCTGGTCCTCTTCCTCTGCCAAAGATACCTCTCCCGAGAGGCACAAAAAAAAAAAAAGGTCAGGAGACTGCGCAAGATTCTTGGGAGAATTTCCCTCCGGGGTTTGGGCAAAGATCTTGCAATAAATCCCAGACAGATGAGCAATCAGAGATTCTTCCACTGCTGAAGTGCCAAGAACAGCAACAGCGCATCTTTCTTCACCGAATGCCCAAGAGCAACAGAAGTAGACTAGACTTTATGCCAGAACGAAAAAGGATAAACCCTCAGCCAACATGAGACCTTCACAACATCTGATTTCCACATGTTTAAAACCATGCTGGCAGTTAAGTACAAGCTTCGAATGACCAATAAACTTAGGAACAAGGGAAACAAAGGAGTTCCGAGCGAGAATGTCCCGTGAATGTCATGATGCTGTGTTCAGCACAGCATGGCTCAGCAGTATTTTCTGAAGCTGGGTTCTGGTCTCCAGGGTACCAGACCATGATTCCATAGGCCGATAACAATCATTAGACAGCCCCCTTCTTCCCTCTCTCCTCCTTCCTTTTCCATCTCCTTCACAGTGACAGGAAGGGGGCCCACTGGTCAGGAAGTGGGGGAGAGACGGGAACCTGCATGTTTCTTATTACCTGCGCCTGAAGTACTGCTATCCACGGTCAAGGACGCGTCGAGCAAAGTATCCATCAGGCAGCCAATTGGGTCCAGCGGATGTCCAACCCAGGCCTCAGTGCTACTCCTGGCAGTGTGCGATGACTCGTTTGAGGATGCGGCATTCTGGGATGCCTTCCGATGCTTGCCCTTCCTCCCTGCTGCATCAAAACGACGGAGAAAGAAACTTAGCTATCAATTTTGAAGACTCAAACACAGACACTTCTCTTGTAATGCTTAAATTATCACTTTTTCTTCGTGCCTCGGTTTCCTATGATACATCTACACATACAACAAAACAAATTACTCGGCAGAATCAGACTTCACCCTTCTCCCAAGATATGCACATCCCCCCCCCAAAAAACCCCAACCCCACACCCACACACACTGACTCCTGAGCACAGAGGGGGTGACTCTTTTGGGGTGAGTCCAACATTTGAACCAGCTGTCTGGTGCATTTTCACAACTGCACACTGAACCGATATTGATTGATTGACTAATCGGCAGATCGTCAGTGTCTGTACTTGTCCTGACTCGACAGTGGTCTTGGGTGGGAGAGTAAAATCCGGGATGAGTCAACACGTCAAGGGACTGAAAACTCAAGTAGCGTCAAGAATTACCACAGTGTATGACTTCTCCAAATGATGCTTTCAATCATATAAAAAAAAACCTCTAAATTTTGCCTGAGGCCCGTCTGAATGTGTTGGAGCAATAGCAGAGTCTACCCATGCCAAACAGGGTGTACTGATGGCAAAGTCGGGACAAAATCCTTTTAGGGATTTTGATATTTCATTCCTGGAACTGTGACGACATCCCAATGGCAGTGTGACCACAGCAACAGGGCACGGCGAACAGACACAAACAAAACATAAGAAAGAGGGGACCATCCTGTTTCAGACTGATGGAGGGGTTTATCATTTGGAGATTCCTTCCCCTCAGGCGGATTTTTTTCTTTCTGGTCTGAAGTGTGAAAGGGGAGGGTGAGGGGGGAGAGACCTGGCATCTCGGTTTCCCGTTCATGTCTCATCCCATGATCTGACTGTCGTACATTCTGCACAACACATTCGGCTTGTCATCAGTCACTTCCAATTTGTGGGTCAGGAAGCTGCCAATGGAGGGCCAGTCAGGCTTAATTTGATGACTGGTTAAGTGCCTCATTCATTCCCCACAACCAATACGAGTCCACATAGCCCAACGCTTATAATGTGTACCCAAACCCCCCCCTCCCTGTCATCCCTACCAACGTCCTGTCGGGATTTTTGTGGGCCTTCTCGGCCTCCACTTCTTCAAACAGATACCAAGTGGCTTTTGGCTCAAGCCTGCCCTGCTGAAAACTGCCCAATTAAGAATTGGGCCCCACCCCCCCAAAAAAAACCTAATGCTTTTCACGTCAATGTTTCTCTTTACCGGAGCCAAAACATGTATAATTGACTTTCAAGGGGGACCCATTCACAATTAAAGCAATTGGAAATGTTATTGGAAATTAAATTGGACATTAAATGAGACATCTTCCTTACGTGGCAGAAGCCCCTCCGTGCACCTCCCCAAATGGCTCCCCACTTGCCAAGAACAAATGGCTGTGGTGATATGCGACTAGGTTGTGTTTTCTGATTGGCTTTTGCATTATCTCGTCAGGGCCCAATGACAGAGTGAAACTCAAGTTTCCTTTCCCGGTTACGTGCCCCCTCCCCCCGTCTATGTTACCACTGGAGCTCAGTGTCTCAAGACTAAACAGTCCATTTCCTCTCAGTAGCAGGATGCTGACAGAAGTCGGCCTCTAGAGTCGGATGGCACGGGTAGAAATGTAAATGCCAACAGGTCCCTCTCTTAACCTAGAAAAGATCTCTTTTTTTTCTCCCTTGCCCACAACTAGATCACAGCGGATCCCCTTCCTGACTCTGAAACTGTATTGCAGATTTGCGGCCAACAAAAGGCTTCATTTCGCTGGCTTTGTCTCATGAAAACTCAAAGTCAAACCATGATGTCAAAGCATGAACACTTGGACACTCCCTCAACAACTAACAAATACAGACCAACTCAAAATCTTTCTTTACAAGCGACAGATATCCAGCCACGGAAACCCGAAACTGCAGCAGGGCACCAGGATGCCGCGGAGTTGACATAACCCTCAGCTGCACCAACATGCGAGTGATTCAGCTCAGCGAGCCCCACTTCCACAATCTCCGAGGTCACTTCAGATTTGGTTTCCCTCCTCCTCTTTTTTTTGGGGGGGGGTTGTTATCAAGAGGGTTCACAAGGCACAGACGTCTAGGGTTAACTCCCCTGTAATGACTGCGCCTTTCAGCTTCCTTCCATTCTTACAACACACCCTAAGCTGCGAGGATGCAGCAGCACATCTTGCCAGCAGACAAAGATTAGTACCTTAAAACGAGAAAGAAAAACCACATTTTTCCAACGGGGTTGCGCCCAATGAGCTCAAACACAGCCACCTGGCAAAATCCAGACTTGCTAGGATCGGCAATGAAGATCAGTTCCTGGGACACACCCCCTCCTTTGGCTCGTGCTTGATATCCTTGTAATCCCTACAATCGTCCCCACACCCATGGGTATCTCGGGGGGGGGGGGTTACAAGGGGGAAAAAAACTTGCCACACCCATGGGTGTCGCAAAGGGGGGGATCAAGGGGAGGGGAAAACTTGACTCGCCTCCCTTGGGGGAAAAAATGAAAAAACTTAAAAGGACAAAAATGAAAGAAAAAGCGAGAGACATGAAAAAAGGAGGTAAGGGGATGACAAATGTATTTGAAAAGACATGTACCTTGGAATCGATCCCTTTTCATCTTTGATAGTTAATCAGCTTTCTACAAATAAGTGCTTTGTCTCATGCCTCCCCTCTCCCTGTGGGAAAAAAATTCTGGTGACACCCGCAGGTGCATCCCCGTGTGTGGGCGGGAAAATGCAGCATGGCACAATCATTTCCCTGGGTTCAACTCTTTTAATGTTTGCCTCGGCAGGTGTCTGACAGTGAGATTCCCACTCCTGCAGAAAACGGACCACGGCTATTTCGACAAAAACAAAACTGAAAGCAAATCCGGAGTGACATTCCCCATGTCATTGTATGTCTTGGCACCTTGGACATTTTAATCACTACGTGCGCACTTTGCATTAGACCCCATGAGCTGGCTAATTAGAAGTGATCCCGAAAGTTGCTGCATCATCCACCCCGCCTAATTTAGACATCACAAGTAATTAATGCTAATTAGAGTCGATGATGGGGGAGGAAGGAACCAGACCCCTAGCCAGGAACCAGCCTGCAGAGGGCCCAAATTATGAGACGTTTGGAGGGGAGGTGTAGCGGGTTATGGGGAGGGGGGTCTGGCTGCCTGTGGTGTGTCTATCTGGGAGGAATCGGTCGATGACAACTTGGGAAGGAACTCCAGCAAATTAAGTCACAAAATGGCCCATTTGCTTCCATAAGGGCAGATGAGTCTGTTTCATAATACCATTAAGGGGTAGGTGACAAGGCGTTGTTTGTGTCGTGGTGCCCCGTTTTGAAAGAAAACTTTAGTCTATGCAAAGGGGAAAATTGCTTAACCAGGAGCCTCTGTTTTAACAAACAAAAAGCTTCAACGTTTTCCTTGTCGTCTGTGCTTTGTCCACACTTTGAACACACTTACGGGCAAGGAGAAAAGTGCGCTACATGACAGAGGTGACGATGAAACATATTGGAGTCCGCTTGGTTGTCTTGAAAAGAGAATTGATTAATTCCAACATTCTCAGTGAAGCCGTGGAGCTTTTAAGAATGCTCTGATTGTTAGAATTGGTGATGGCTCTTCCACTACGAGAGAATGCTGGCTACTGCAAAATTCACAGATGTCCAAGTATTTTGGGTAGTCTGGCTAAGCAAAAAGCTAATTGACAAAACAGAATTTGAAATGCTTTGACATTTCCTCTGTCCTATTCTCAGAGGTGGGGCAGGTTTTATAGGAGCGCATGGGACTCACATGGTCTGAGTTGTTTAAGGCTGTCTCTTTGCTGCTTCTTGAGGTTACGGACGATGCTGACGGCTAGCCTTAAGGCATCTTTCGGGTAGCCGTGCGATCGCAAGGCATCCACTCGGGCACAGGCTGTGGGTAGATGCTCTAAAAACAACAGGAAAAGAAGAGGAAGATGACGTGTAAGTAACAACAAGTCACAGGCTGGTTCACTCTTAAGGTTGCCGTGAATGCCAAGCAGCTCTAATCTGCCTGTATCATTTGCGGGCAAAGTGACCAAAGTTGAAACTGTTCAACTGTTTAAAACTCCTTGTGCGAATACAGTCGCTGAAACACCGGACATTAGCAATAGCTAGCTGTAGTTTAAGAGTTGTCACATTAACTGATAATAACTTGAGGCAAAATAAAAACAAAACCAAGAATCCAAATATGATCCAACTATAAAACTTGCTCAATGAACACTCTTCCTCCATAGCAAACTTTTATATATTTTTTATTAGACAAAAATCCAAATTTGAAAGGAGCTCTATGGAAGGAACCCCGGAAACATCAAGTCTAAAAGGCAGGAAATCCGGGGCACTTAATAAAAGGGGTACAAGAAGAGAAAAAAAAAATTTTAAAACTACATGGAAAAAAACAGGAGAGAGATGACCTATGCTCTGGTGTCACGCGAATGCACAGTGTACCGCAAAACAGGTCACGCATATACCCATAGTAAATAATACATACTTGTTACGGTTCAAACAGCACATGAAAATTGCACTGCGCTTGAACGGGTGACCGCTGCAGGTGGACATACACATACATGTATGGCGCATTCCCACAAGACAAGGACACTGTGAGGTGAAAAACCTTTCTGTTCTTCCGTCTGCACGCTGGGCACTCCTTTTATAATGCACTGGGTACGACGTACTGAGTGGCTGGCTTGGTGCGCATTTATAATTTGGCGAAAACCAACTGCGGGTGGGAATTTTGTTCGTTCTGAGTGCACAGAGTCCTCTCGAGGCGTAATCGTCAAAACCGTTTTTTCATTTGCTTTTGGCCCTGTTCCTTCTTCCGCTTGATTTACGAACTCCAGATTGAAAACTGCATGGCAGAAGAAATTAAAGGTTTAGATTGTTTTCTCTCCTGCCACTGCAATTCTTTAAATATAGAACTACGACACAAAAAAGCGAGGTAAAAATGAAATAGACAGGTGTGCAGCTCAAGTAAGATTCTGATGAGGCATATTTTGGGTTCAATCTATTGCCAAAACTGACGGGGGGAGGAACAAATCAAAAGCATGGTCTCAACAATGGAAAACATGAAACGCCATGTCAGAAACAGGCTACTAGAGCTTTGGCTATGTCTCGGCATGTCCCTGTGTATTTTCAATGGGTGACAACATGGACCAAGCCCAAGACAGAAGATTGAGAGGCGGCCAGACTGATACTGCAATAAAATATCCTGGAGTGGGTTGTGGTGCAACGTGCATCAAAGGATTAGCTTGTTCCATATCATTTTCATGTATGTGGGAATTGATGCATGTGCACATGCAATACCTCAAAGGGTCCATGTTGCCATAAAAATAGACTTGGGTCATCATCTGCCGTGATTAAACCAACCATCAAAATCCAAACAGACTCAAGTTTTGTTGGTGGCCAGTGTTGTACACAATATAATAGTATTGACGTGGCAACAACGATGTTGATGTAGCGGCAATGTTTGACAGGAACTGCATTCGGCAGCATGGTGAACGTGATGTTTTCAGCACCAGAATGCCCGGCATCCCAAATATACCAAACGGGAACATGGATCAGACGCTTCTACGGTACATGGACTGTGTGCATCTGCGTTGAGACTGCGAGCAGTCTCATTGACTCCAAAAATGGGCAAATGCACCCAATGCTGAGGAAGACAGCCATTTTGAAGATTTTCAATTCTTGGGGGCACTTTTCCAGCACAAGAAGACCCCTTTCTAATGAACTGAACACCACCACTTCAGGTCAAACGCTGAAAATATGCTTCTTCTGTTTTCGGATAAAAATGAACAAATTTGAACAGAGTCTACCCCTGACGGTCATTCAATTATTGTTGATCCAGATGGTGCTCTCACACACAAGTGGAACTGAACATACTTTCTATTAGAAAAAAAAAAGCCGAGGGATTTTTCAATAAAACTTGATTTTATTATCGCTTTTAAAACACTGAAGCTACATGTGTCAAATGTGTTTATTTGGCTGTGTATGAGAACCGAGCAAACATCAATAAGGACATATTTTTAGGGAGTCAGGTTTACGAAGCAGCTTGTGCATGTATTTTTAGAAGGTCAGTTTACACGACTGGATGTCTTAATTTATCAGAGAGAGGAAAAGTACCGTAATCTCTGTTGAGATAGTCTAAGTAATCACTGTGGGTAGGAATAGGCAGTGAGTCATTTATTTAGATTTCAAGTTTACGTCAACACCACTGCCTAGCAGGCTAACCTCATAATTCACTTGAGCGGGATTGCACAAAGAAACATGGGGAGGCCACGGTCAATCCTGATCCCGTTTGCTGCCCCAGTAAACAGCACTGCCTGAGCCAGAATGTCTAAGATAACCCTCCCTTCCCCTCGCCCTCTCTCTCTCCCCCCCCTCCCCAAAACCTCCTGAATCTAATCACGCCAGGCAGGGCTTCAGTTCCAGACAAGGTTGTAACACAGTGAGTGTGCAGAGACGATATACAAGCTAGCTGCAATCCCCATCCTTCCCCCTTCCCACCTCCCCCCCGCAAAGGCAACTCTGGCGGCAGAGTGTTGGATCTGCATAGCACCACACACGCACACAAACACACATGGAGTAAGAAAAGAAAGGGGGAATATTGGTCTGTCAACTCGTCTGGCTATGGCCGGCCTGGACAGACCAGCAGGGGCCTGAACCATGCTGCAGCTGCTGACGCTGACGCTCTGCCCTCAACCCTGATCCAATTCCGGAATTCAGGGACTAATGAGATCTTTCTAAAAACCATTACTATTGCAGAGCTTGGTAATGCCAGTGCGATGTCATCCACTACAAACAAGGCTACTTTCTCATCCACGCTACTCTTCCAATGTCTCTATTCCAGAAAACAGCTTCTGCATTCAATGTGGGCTTCGTTTTTTTTCTTGTCTGTTATGTTTTTGTTTTCTATTTTGTGTTTACCACCAAAAGGTGTTTCGACACTCAGTCTTGTTTTGACTAACCAAGAGAAGCTGAAACGTAACCGCCACGACAGCTTTGAGTCAATTACATCTGTGAAAAACTGATATGGGGAAACCAATTTTCATATTTGTGCCCGTGAGAAATCTGACACAGTGCACTGCACTAACACGCCACGCAGGATATATATATAAATATATCTTAGACGACAGAGCAAGTGGGAGCAACAAGCCTGCAGGCAAGGTAAGAACAGCTACCAAATGCAATGCATATTGGGTAAACTGGCTTATCAGCGGGCCGGCTAATTCATCCAGCCGTGTGCGCGCACTGTGTCATGCCGTGGATCGGGAGCCCTGTGGGCCTGCCGTGGTTATACTATGGAGTCAACCCCCCCTTTCCCACTGTGGGAGCAGGAAATAGTGCACTGAACTGCAATCGGGTTCAAGCCTACCTTACCCTGCTGGGAGAGAAACCAAAACATCTAAAGAAGGCCTGCCTTCAATAGATACTCTGTCTTTCCCACAGCACAAACAAAGAAAGAAAGCGAAAAAAATGGTCCTTGGACTTCCCTTCTAACATTTTTAATGAACAATGTAAGGATCTTTCTCATGCAATTGACAACCAGTGACCAGAAAGACATCCCAGAAACTTTACCCCCGGGGGGGGGTTATCTCTTTTATGGCGAAACATTTCAAGCTATGTCTGCTCCTACATGTACCTCTTGGAAATAAAACAAAAAATTACTCAGAAGAAATTCCATAACAACTGTGAGATGCCGCGCTGACTTTCGAGCATGTCGAAATATTTACTCTGGGCAAAGTTTACGAAGAGCAGGCTGTCAATGCAATCAATGTTGACACGTATTTTTTTTAAGTTTCCATTCAAATGTGAAAGTGCAAGTGAAGAAACACATGAACTGGTATTTAAAAAAAAGTTTATGGTCCACTTTCTCAGCTGAAAATGTAAGCCTTAAAAAAGTTGTCGATGGAAATCATTATTAAGTTTCAAAATCAAACAAATTAGACCTCTGCAGCATTCTCATTGGTCAATATCAATCCCCCGTCACGTTTTTCTGACTCAAACTCAATTAGCTGATAGTTCACTACAACAACCATAATATTTACCGCTGGCAACAATAAAATGTTAATGTGGGCTGTTGACTGGGTCCATTATACTGATGGCGAGGAGATACAACCTAAGGTCGCGCAGCCAGCAGGTCACCACGGCGAGAATGAATGAAATCAAGCAGAACTTGCATGAGGGATGCACACCATGAAAGTTAAATGCACTAGTTTCATTGTATCAAGATGTGGCTACCAGAGATATCATTGTAAAAAAAAACTACTGAAAACAGCATCTGTGAAGTGTGCGGTGATGTGTCCAAACCCAGACCATCCTGACCAGGGACTGCAATTAACTAATGAACGCACTGTGGCCATATCCATTGACGTTTAAAAGGAAAAGGGGTTGGGGGAAAAAAAAGAGCATCATGAATATGTGTCTGTTAGCCAGCTCAACGTGTTGAAGTTTATTAATCATATTGTGCCGTTGGGTCGGGTTTCTTCTGGGCCATAAATTAATCTCGGGTACAGAACTCACACTTGCCTATCTGATGACGAATGGACGTTACAGTGTCTGGACTATTAACTATCACACAACGTGTTACGTTTCAAATTTATTAGAATCAGAGTTGTAGGCTGCTTTTCTAACAGCAAATAAATTTTTAAATACAGATTAATCGTAAGAAGTGCATATATACAAACTGTATTAATTGAAAAGGGGAAAATTAAACCCAAACCCAGAATCGACCTGATTTATAAGCACTTCCTGGTGGGTGAAAAACCTGGTACTCTTTTGGGTTCTGAGTATGAGAATCCTGAAACCTGAAAACTTGTGCAACAGAGGAAAATGCATGTATAGAGAATTTTCATTCACTTGATTTTTGACGGTCAGCGTTCGATTCACAGACGTGTGCGGAAACGCATGCGTCTTCGAAGTTTCTCAACAATCTTGCATACGTGAAATTGCTAATTGAAATGCACAGATTCAATCATGCATGCGCCTCCACGGACACGGTACGCTTCTTGAAATGACTTTACCCGTCATGTTACGTCACATGAAAAATCTCTTCACAACTAGCGCCCGTTGCAAACAGTCTGACACTTTTACATCTGGTACCTAGTCTCCATTTCTACACATTCTCTCCACAGCTATGCAAATGGATTATGGAGTACTAAAAGGTAAGTTTTTTTTTTAAATGGTCACAATAGAAACGTCTAGTCACAGCTTCAGATGGAAATAGATCTATCTAAACTTAACCTATGTTTTTTTAAGCAAATGTGTGGCACTTGGCCAAGCTCATCGAAGAGAATAAAGTGATATGGGATCCTTATTTTGTATTTTGTGTGCCAGGACTACTTGCAGTTTTTTAACAAGGGGGGTCCTCAAATCCAAAAGGTGCACTGAATTAAAGTGAAATTCCGACTGTCGAAACAATGTAAAGCCTTTATGACAGCACCACAAATGCTGTGGCAATCAGTAAGGGCGTGGTGAGAGGGACAGAAGTAGCAGAGTACCAATGCTCACGAGAGTTTATGAGGTATACAAACCAGAGTAGGCAAAACTTGGTGTTTGGGGGGGAGGAGGGAATGAGTAGAACAACTTACCTGACCAGAGAGGGTGGCCCTCCGAGTCGAATCCGCCAAACTCTGTGTCGGCGTGGTGAATGCTGTGATAGAGCTTGTTGTTGAGAATTCCCTGCAGATGGCTGTCGTTCCACTGCAGATCGCAGGCCTCGATGGCGCGCGTGAAGATCGTGCGGGGTCTGTCGGCATCAGAGGCAGCTGCGAGGGAGGGCGTTTCCACAAGGTTATTGCAACCATGCCAGAACAGGCCCCAAGTTTTTGTGGCGGTTCTAGTGCTTTGAGCTTAAACAGTTGCCAAGCAGGAAAAAATACCTGCTTGGCTAGAAAAGGTTGCCAATCAAAGTGTCATGTCTTTTTACTCTGCCCACGACTAGTTTTTATATGGGTATGAATTCGCGGTGCAATGTTTTCAGCATTATACCCCTGATATTGGGCAGGGCCGGGCCGGGGGAGGGGGGTTGACACCTGCCGGTGAGGCAGCCATATCTCAAACCTCTATCTATTTTATTCTTCCCCTCGCTTTTGTTGCCTTGTTTCCTCAAGTTCCCCAACTTTCGGAAGCTGTGAAGTAGAAGCTGATTTACTTTGCTGCTGGAACATCAAACTGTCTGACATGAAGTCCAAATTGGGAGTCCCTTTGATTCAGCCAGACATTGAGGCCCATGAAGGGTTACAATGTCACAGCCTGAGATGAAGCCAACTTTGAGAACAGACTTATGAGGAAGAGAAGTCAGGCAGCTTTGGATGGGGGGGGGAGCAAAGATGCCTCTGAACCAATGACAAACTCGTTGAGATGAGGCATTTAGGGTCTAATCTACATGGTACAGACAGTCCTTTTATGTACACGTATGTAATTTTAAGGTTCAGCCATCTTGGCATTTCAGAAAACAGTGCCCTCCTTACCTGGGGGGTTATTCAAAACACCAACAAGAGAGGGGTTGGTCAGGTTGTTCCTGGCGTCAGCATCCTCTAGGGGACAGAGGTCGTTGGACCCCCACTGCAACAGCTGTTCCTTCCATGTCATCTTCTCCCTCTGGGTGTAGCCGGGATTCATCACCACAACCATCCACAGCAAACCTGTAATGCGAGGGAGTGCACACGATGAAAGTGATTTTCAAGAGGGAGTGAGGGGGACCAAAAAAATATAAAAAAATTTACAAGGGCAGGAAATTTATTTTTCATTCTAACGGCTTGGGGAAATTGGGGGTTTGGTGGGGTCTGGCGCTGTCTTATTAACTCCATAAGTGGAAGGTGGGATTCATCACAACTCGGTGGAAACGTGCATGGTTGTACAGTCTTGGCGTGTAATTGCATTTGCAGACGTTGGGTACTTGCCAAGAAAAAGGTAAACCTGGTCCACAATGCAACCTAACTGACCAAGTAAAATGAGGGCTCTTCAGTCTGTGATTAAAGATTATCTAGCCCACTCGGGTTGTAATAAATGGTAAATACATGCCACACTGATAAGTGGTATCAAATGCATTCCAAAATTCTTTCTTTTTTTGTAGAAAGAGAGTGCAAACGTAACAGACAAACACAAACATATAACAGGAAACAATAAAAACACGGAAACAACTTCTGGGCCTTCAAACAACTAAGAATATGATAAAAATAATTACAATAATTTATTCATTTATAAAGCGCAACTTTCATAAAGATATGTTCCAATGCGCTGTACAATGAAGACATGAAGTAGTATACTACTTGTTACTGTTTATCTAACAAGAGTGGTGTCCAATTCAACAGTGTCTTCCTTTCCCCGATGGGAGACTCTTTGAGACGACAGGTAAAGACAAACAAACTGGTCCCCTTTCATGTGCGGCATTTGGGGCATGTGCACACCGGCTCAAACTTGATACAAACAGCTATGTTTGCCTCCGACGAACTGTCTAAAAAGATCTCCCACTTCATTTCTAATATGGATTCGGTGGATTTCATGATATTGATCCTGGCGAACAGCAGTAAATGTCGCTGTCCATCATTTCTCGATTTGAAAATGTTAAAAGTGATATCCATGTACTACCAAAGCGTTAGTATTCCATGTTGTCAGGGATCATGACAGGTATCGATACGACCTAGGAAACAGGCAATGTGGGGACCCAACTCCATACCAAAAAAAACAAAACAAACAAAAAATAAATACATTGATGAAATAAAACAAAGAAAACAGTGCCCATCTGGAATATTCTCAGTTGATGACTGAATCCTGTTCTTGATTAGGAAAATTATAGACACGAAATAAAAAAAAAACTCTCGTTATACAGAACCAATGGCCCAGTATCGCTGCATCTGATTTTGTTTTTCTCTCTGGGAAGGTATCAACTCAGTGAGTCCTTATCATTGAGGTCTTCGCTTTGCACCCTCGATAAAAAAAAAGAAAAGAAAAGTAGACACGCACCAACACATGATGGATGTCTCCTGATCAAGCGCATGTACACGTACATGAACGAACAAGTACACAACGCGTAGCTGGAAGGCCGTAACACTTCTCTATGCATGGTGAATTTTGTTCTCCACAATGACTGGATGACAAGAAAGTGTGACACACTCCAACGGCGCTAAATTAAAACCAGCGAAGCCATATTTTGTCCTCCTTTCGGTTTTCCTCTTTCCATTCAAGGGTCGGGCGCACACCTTTGGCACACAGTCAGGGAGCATCACAGCATGAAGTACAATGCAGTGCGTGCACGGTACGCACGATACCAGACGCCTGCTGCAGGGAATACTTACAGATGGGGTTTAGATAAGCACGCCAAAAAACGTATACGTACATTTGCACGTTGACCAACCACAAGCAAGGCTACACATACTTTCAAATTGACTGCACATTATGTTGCGCCAACCAATAAATATTTGCCTTCTTATCACTGCATTCTCATTGTCCATGGTTCACTGAGCAGGAACCTGCTGAATGACATGTGCAGCAAAGAAGAAAAAGAAGCAGAAATTTGACATCTTTAAAAGTTAACCAGGCTAGATGCATCCAAATTTGTTTTTCTCACTCAAATTTAGTTGAAAATAAATCTCCATTGGACACACTCTTTCCTCTAGACAAATCTGCATTTCTACTCCCGGTTTATTTGTGAGAATTCAACACTGTGATTCACAAGAGCAAAAATCAGTTTAACAGCCTAATTGTTGATGGATAAAACCAGAATTAAAATGGGAGGATACAAGGACATGGACAATTCATCCTTCCAAAAGAATACATTTTCCCTCTATTAAGGCACCCCGCCTTTTTTTTTTTTTTTTTCAAGGAAGAGCCAACAATGTCACTGTGAATCTTCTGTGCAAGACAACAGCGGCAGCATTTAGCACCAGGCATATTTCCTCTCAAACATGCATATCAAATTACAGCTCCGCCATTAGAGGGCCAACACTAACGACTATTGTTGCCTGCCATCAATTTTTTTGTTCGATATGACATTGTACAGCTGCGGCTGAACCAACGACAAGGACAGCTATTGTCAACATCTTAGCTCCCCAGAAAGAATAAAAAAAAATGAAAAAAAAATTGGACGGGGGGAGAGGAAGAGGGAGCACGTAATGTCTCATTCATATTTCCCTTGCAGAGCAGCTATGTCAACCAAACAACGACAAAGCTCTGCAATAAATCTACACGGCAATTCATCCGTGGAGGGGTCCGTAATCAGACCAGACTCTTTAACTTAATGGCAGCGACCAACGAGAGAGCCAGGGATAAACAGATGGTGAACTTGAGGGGACACCACAAAGCTTATGTTGTACGGTGCCACTATTCTGTCAATCTTTCCCTCTCCGCCGTCGTGTGTTTATGCATGCGGCACCACAGCAATTGAGAGCGAGACCTACGTAGCTCTGTCTATCTTACTCGACGCCAGTTGCCCGTATGGTGGTGTGCCGCTGTTGTGTTCCGACAGTAGTGTCAACATTAGTGGGTTGTAAAGAGAGCCAGGCTGGTGTGTACAATGCCTTGGGTATGCGTGTCAGTGTTGGGAGGGGGGGGCGGCAATAGACACTGCATTCCATTGTGAGATCAGTTGGTGTCCGGCTGCCTCACGTTCACTCTCTCTCTCTCCACCGTCTGCTTCCAGCATTCGTGTAAACAGTGAGACACATTTCCTGCATGCGTGCACTGGTACAAATGGACAATGGAATGTACATGTACACGTACACTAAGAAGGAATCTATTCAAAATTGGACATTTCCCCCCCCCTGGACATTTTCCTGTATTTGTCAACCAGAAAAAGGTCTATCCGATGCAAAATTTGACACTCTTACAAAACAAGAAGAATGCAACATTTGATGTTTTCGGATGCGAGACAGGTACAATTTTATGACAAAGTAAACACGGCAGAAATGACCATCAAAGCAATTTACATGCACGTGTACATTTCAGCTCAAATTCTTTCACTGGACAGAAGCAGCCAGCATCTGCTGACACTACAGGTTAACAGCTCCAAAATCCATTTTCTTCCTCCCTACGTCTCCGACAAACATTACCGATTCAAATTATTCCAGGAAGTGAGGCTTGGATGTCAGCAAATGCTATCACATGATATATCCATGAATTCCGATTTTTCAATAAGTCCCAAACTTCATCAGCATAATTGCCTTGAGAGGCTTGGGTGGGTATTTAATTCCCGCATACAGCCGGGGAACAGTGGGGACTTGATTAAGGCCCCATCCATATGCATGCCTGGTTAGGGCTCGGGGTATGATCGGATCACAGCAAATACAATTATTTGTGGTTGAATAGAACACTTAGGAATAATGAAACCCTTTGTCTGGTGGTGAGGATGCTGGCTGCAACCAACTGCTCCTGGCTGCTTGTGGGGCCCGCTGTATAATTTGGACGTGAACTGCCAGGACTGGCGTCAGACCTGGTTTAATTTCCTCACAGCTCACATGTACATTTTGTATATCCTGTGGATTTGAATATGAGCATCCCTCGCAGCCTTGCAACAATGCAAACTGCAGCACTTTGAATTTCTCCCGATTAGAAATTCCAGCATAGCTCATGAATACATGTATGCCAACTTCGCAGACTTTTTAAAAATTACTGTAACCGTTCACTGTACATGTACGGTAGTCCACAGGAACTTGACACAAACTGTGAGAATTTGCAGTGAACAGATCCGAATGTCGACTGTATGAATTCTTATGGAAATTTAACAGACAAATTTGAACGACCATATGTGCCATGATCATGTTCCCACATAAAGCTTGAAATACATCAATGTACGAGTACAATACCATTTACCATCAAGCCTATCCATTTCTCTGAAAGTACACAAGGGTAGATAGATATATTCATGTGTGCCACTGACGCATAACCCATTCCAATCCCGTATCATGTATTATCTAATCTAAGCATGAATTATAAGTGACCAGATCACAAAAGATGAGTCCGCGGGCCACATTTTCACTACGTTTTTGTTTCAGTTTGCATATAGAGTGGGCAAACTGAGCCCTTCGGTTTGACACATCGTTCTCTGTGTTATTACCGAGACGAAAAAAGGTGAGGGTTGACGTAAACTGTGCACGACTATTTTAAAGGCCTGCCACTCATTTTGTTAGGTTGGGTCACATACATGTACATGTGCGTCTGAGCAGCGCTGGAACCATTCTGCTCTTTTGTACACATGTACATGTACGTACATGTACCGGTGGGTGACGGTCGCCGCCCTATTCATGAAGCTAGACCAGTACATGTCCAAGCAATCACCACTGCACTGTGTGTTAAAACTGAAAACCAACAGAACACAATGTGCACTGATGTTAACAGGATTCTAACATCTGACAGGCACCCAGGTAGGCCTATCTGACACCTGACCAACAGCAGCAGTTGTACATATACTTCCTTCTTGGGCCTCCAACCCCCTTTGGAAATTCTGAAATGCCCTTTCTGAGAAAGCAAAGACCAGCTTTTGCTTTTTAATCAGTTGGTTATGAAAATGAAATGAAAAACCAAGCAAAAACAACCTCCAAAGTGACTCCCTGTTGATTTGTTTTTACAGAGTGTGGCAGGGCAGCCTAGTGTGAAGCTATCTACATGGGAATTGAGCGATGGCAAAGTGCATGCAGAATTATGTTCA